ACAGGCTTACCCTCAATGCCTACACCAGGGGTGGCCAATGTTGGTCATGGAGAGCCACAGTCCTGCAGAGTTCAGCTCCAACCCTAATCAAATACACTTGAATAAGCTAATCAAGGTCTAAGGGTCACTAGAAAGCTAGAGGCAGGTGAGTTTTTATCAAGGTTGGAGCAAAACTCTGCAGGGTTGTGGCTCTCCAGGATTTATGCTAACCATCCCTGGCCTACACCAACTTCACTACGCAACACCCTGATTACATGGGTGGTGTGACCAATGCATGACAGCTATTTATCAAGGAGCTGGTCAAAGAGCTTGTCATGCCACATATGAAGAGGTGCTTGGAGGGCAGGCCCCACCTTCAAAGGAGGAAGAGGCGCAGGATCTGCCCAGCTGCCAAAAGCCCTATTCGCACGGGATTAGTATTATCTGGGGACCTTGTGTGATTTTGAAATTACCCCCCCACATCTGAATTTCATGTGGTGCATTCGCACGGGATAAGCGAAGCCTGTGATTTTACTCGAATTTACTGACTTGTCTCCCGGATACCCGGATGCCAAGGCTTTGAGAGTCCCGTTCTATGGTCCAGATGGATTTAAAAAAAAAGAAACTAATATAGTTTTGTGTGCTGTGTCATTTACATTTCACCAGGTTAAAATAATATCTCAAGCTTTATGCTTGATTTATTTGTAACACATTAACCTCAAAACCTTTTCAGCTTTATCTTTCTGCAAATTGTATGGTGTAGCGATATGATGACAGCACCCAAAATACTATCAAACACTCCAACGCAGCTCCATTCTTCACGAAAGATGGATAAAAGGGCGCACTGGAAACAAAAACCTCGAAAAATTATATACTTTGCAGGTCGCCAAATGCTGGCCGAATCACAGATGCCGATTCGTATGGGACTAATATTATCACAGGACCCCGGTGTTCGGAGAAATATGGTAGGTCATTTGCGGGGGAATTTTTACTTTACAAATTACAGACATGGCCGATTCGCATGGGATTAAGATCACAGGCAACCTCCGCAATTATTACAAATGACTGGAGGTCACCAGGTAATACTAATCCTGTGCGAATAGGGCTAAAGACAGATAAGTCAGCAGCTGGTGTTCCCAGTGCAACAGGCTTGTGTGCAAGGAGCACAAACCTGTAGTTGTCATTTGTGAGGCATGTAAGCACTAAGATAGCAATTTGATGTAGTGCTGTACCTGTGTGATTTTATTTTGTTTAGTTTTATTTTCATCTATTCGGTTACATTCACTACAGTTGCACTACAGGCAAAGTGGCAAATAAACATTTTTCAAGTGTTAAATGTGCTGGTCTAAATAACTGCTAAAATAATTATTTTAACAAAATGTCTTTATTATTTTGTTTTATCTTGCTCGCATAGATGGGTCATTTTTGACCCATGTGTATAAACTTGTAGTAACAAAGACCTATGAAAAAAATTTAATATTAATTTGTGATTATTGTAAAAAAGATGTTTTGAATATTCATGGATCAAGGAATTTATAGACTAGGGAATATTAAATGCTGAAATAAACTGATTTCAAAAGATGAAAAAAAAAAAAAATCCCAGCGAAATATGAAATAACATAGGAAATGAATATGGGTCATTTTAGGCCCATTTTGTGCATTAGAAGGGGTTTTCATAGCTTGTGCATCAAAGGGTTAAACCCTCTCTATGAAATTTGTTTCTGCTCAAACAACTGAATTTCTTTACATACCAATCATTTTGATTTTCAAAGCTATAAGATTTTCAAAGATAACCATGTGTGCATATTCTGCAAATAATTTCTAAAGGTTTAATGAGCAAAAATTGTTTATGGAACACCACAAGTGTAACAAACATCCTAGTTAAACATTAAAGCACACTAGTGTGATAAACAGTGCATTTTTATTATTTTATTTAATAGTGACAGCATTTTCACAAATAATGCTGTTTTTACAAAACCTGTCCTAATGTCCTAAACATTTTGGATGTTTATATATTTTGGAAGGGTGTTCCATGAACTGGAGAGATGCTGAGCTTTGTGGTCAGCATTGGGCATAAAGCCAGATTGCTCCAGGTGGTTGATTTTAATGAATCATAAAAAATTGCTTTTGCCTTTTGATGAGTATGCCTCATAGCTCTTCATCAAAATTCAGAGTAGTTTAGCTTTTTATAAACATGACACAATGTTATGATAAAAAATATTAGTTGCAAGCCTTACTTTTTTTTGTGTAAACTTGGCTGTAAGGCACATTTCCTCCTGTTCCAGCTTACCTTGACTTGTCTTCCTGAGCACTTTGGTAAATGGTAAATACATTGTTTGATGCCCCTTTGTTTATTTTTATTCAGATGTCTGTTCCTGTTGCTCAAACTCTAGAGCATGGTGCTAGCAACACCAAGGTCATGCAGTTAGAAGAAATTTTGGAATATGAAGCATAATTAGGTTACACTTCATTTTGATAGTCCACTTTAGACATTCTACTAACTATACGTAACTTTGCAACTACATGTCTTGCAAAGTTTCTATAGTTTGTATGTTGTAGACCAAAAAAAAAGTGTTAGAAGTTAAGCAGACAGTCTACTAATAATCTAATGACTGCTAGGTGACATGTAGTCGCAAAGTTACTTACTGTTAGTAGAATGTCTAAAGTGGACTTTCAAAATAAAGTGTTACCCATTATTACTGTTGGAAATATACTTCAATGTTTAAACAATGTTTTTATAAAACAAAATGCATGAAGTCTACACAGATTTCCAACTGTTTTCATTGGTATTGTACATCATTTCAGAGGGGCTGTTGTGCCAGTATTTAAATAAGCTGCCAATTTATTGCAAACCAGTGCATTTTTTAACAAATATTTTTTTTCAGATCATTTATACCTGCTCCAGTAAGAAGGTGTCTTCTGATACAGGCTGACAATTTTTGGCCGGAATAGTCTCATGAAGCTAGACTTGGTCCAGTCTTCCTGTCCGAGATTAAACGTGTGACGTAACCAATCTGTACTGCTAGTCTTCCACTTCCTCTCATAGGTTCTAAATCACTACTGCCAAAACACTTTAAAACTCAACTGTGTAGGTTTATTGTCTCAGAGTTGTCAATCAGTATTTATTTATTTCAAGTGTGGTTACATATTTATTACCAGCGCCATGTATGGAAATGTGATACGCTATATGCATTTTACTGGTCCCAGTTGGAGGTGACCATGTCTTTTCCATTAGGTCGTATGGCAGTGTTCACTTTAAGATCTGGGTTTTCTCACATAGGTTTGGTTTTCATCTGTGGATCATTGCAGCTCTTTTAAGCTACTCCACAGAAAAGTGTGTAGTATCATGAATCACTTTCCTCAAAGCAGAGGGAGTTCCCTTCCACTTAGAGAACACACTGGGCCTCCATTTGTTTACATTCGTGGGGAGGAACCTCTTCCTCTACTCTTCCATTGTTGCACAGCGAGGTGCTGCTCGGCTCGGCAAGCCTTTCAACTCTGTTTTTTTTTTTTTTTTTTGGACAATGGAGTATTTAGTATTTGTGATGGCAACAATAGCAAAAAAATATATATTTTTTTCTTCAAGGCCAAATGTTTACTGTATTTAAATTCTAAAATGTATATATTTCAGAAGGACAAGGAATAGTAAAATTGCTTGAATTGCTCTATCTATCAGGTAAATGAATGAGCACTGCAAGTAGTGCGGATCACTCTGTTGATTATTATGGAAGCAATCTAGTTTTGTCTTCATGCACACATTTTTTTTTTTTTTTTTGTGTTGACACAGCCCACACCCTTCCCCCCGTAAATCAAATCAGAGTACATTAAAAAGCAAGAATTATATGTGATTGCTCATGGTACGTGCAGCACATGCAGCCATATATGTTTATAATATGTTTATAATGATATTTCGGTCACATTTGGTTTATTTTGAAGCTTATTTGTTTCTGCTTCTTAGAACTGCACAATTTGGCCAAAAGACCACAAGATTGTTAGTGCATATTGTATTGCCAAATGCACATTATAAGCAACTGAAGCCCAGAGTAGATGCAGAGATGAATTTGTGTTGAGCAGCATTTACTGTGAACTGAACCAAATCATGTGTAAATGAACAAAGTGCAGTGCATATTTATTTAATTAAATTGCAGACTATGCAATATCATACAGCACAATCTTCAAATTGCAAATTTTGGTTTTATTTTGATTAATCGTTTTACCCTATCTGCTTTGGTAATAAACAGTTTGTTGTCTTGGATTTCTCCAATGACTTTTCCACTAATGTGTTTATCATTTGAGGTAGAAAAAGTCCAAGTTTGCTTGTCTAGAAAGATTCAATCTGTACGAGAAAAGGGCTTGTTTTGTTCAGTAATTGCTTGAGGGGTTGAAGGGGTACCCTCAAATGAACTGAACTAGGAAATTGTTATATAACATAGCATTTAAAAAAATGTAAATGACAATTATGATAATGATAACACAGAATTAATAACGATTCATGCTGAGATTGAAAATTCTGTCAAAATGAGATGACATTTATGGGTATTTATCTTTAATGGGGTTGAAAAATAAAGAGTGACGTCAGCCAAAAAAGGCATGTAGTATAATGAATGTAGTAATGCATTGTCAGTAGGGCTGCACGATAAATCGCATGTGATATTTAACGCGCATCTTATCAGTAAAGCCGGTTCTGTAATCAGCGGTTGTTCACTGACAAGCTGCGCAAAACCACGTTCATATTCGCGTGATTTTTTGCGCAGCTCGTCAGTGAACAACGGCTCTGTGTAATTAATGCTGCTCAATGTGAAAGCACGCACGTGATGGAGATTTACCGCTGATTACAGAACCGGCTTTCTGACAAGATGCGCCTTAAATATCGCATGCGATTTATCGTGCAGCCCTAATTGTCAGTAATGGATATGCAGCCATGTGTTAAATATTTTTGTGAACACTGCAGTGCTATTCCTAATGTGATATTTTCTTGTAATGGTTCCCAGAACTCCATATTGATCTCATCTTTCTTTCAGCCGGATAACATCCTCTACCCCCCCTCGATGCCCTTCCGCAAGTCCAGCAACCCAGAGGTTTCTCAAGGCTCCAGTTTAGCGCTGAAATTTAAACGACAACTCGGTGAAGATGGCAAACAGCTACGGAGAGGAAGTCTAGGGGGCGCTCTAACAGGTAACATCCTGACCTTTGTGTACAGCCAGATGTAAAGAGTTGGGGTGTAACGGTTCAACTTAATCACAGTTCGAATAATCACACTTTCGATATTTGATATGTTTTTTGATGTTTGCTGTGTTTAGGGAAAATAAACTATACTAAAAATAAAGAAAATAAGAACAAATAATCTGACTACAAGCAGCAGCACAAATAAATACAATAGAGCAAAGATACAAATAAAATAAACAGTGCTTTTCAGGTTTTCACTCGCATTGAGCAAAGAGTGACTTGTTTGTCCAGGTTTTTTTTTTTCTCGCTTTCCATCGCTGTTGATGTAATGTATTGGGAAGCCAGAATTAACATTACATTAACATTACATTGGCATACATTAGTCGAACTCTGTCTGTTTTATGTGTAACAAACTATATTACAGATGCATTGTCAGATTTAAGTTGAACCGCGGTGTACATGCGTGCCGAACCGCAATTTCATATTTTTATAATCCATGATGATAATGTAGTTCATTTGAAATGAACGGCAGAAAAAAATAAATATTAGATAAACTATAAACATTTTTCAGCGCAATTTTTTTCCTAGAGTTTCATAGAGTTGGCAAATTAATTTTTCATAAGTTTGTAGGTACAGACATCTGTTGTGGACGTTCTTGGAGGTTTTTATGAGGCTTTTTTAATAGTGTTCATATCGATGTCGGAATGATATCGTATCGACAGAAATTAAGAAATATATCGTGATATATATTTGGGCCATATCGTCCAGCCCTACCTTTCATCATATAAAGTGATTGTGTCTTTTTAGAAGACTTGGATTAAACCACTTTGTTCATATGGGTTTATTTGTTGTTTATGAACATTTGATTTTTTTTTAAGTGTTTGGTGAACAGACTTTGTGGAGGGACAGAATTTGATTCTCTCAAATTTCAAATTATCCTTGTGTTCTGAAGTTGAGAGAGAGAAATGGAGTGTTTGAAATTGGGCTGTCAAATGATTAATCGTGATTAATCACATCCAAAATAAGTTTGTGTCTACAAAATATGTGTACACACACAAAATACATATAAGAACAAAAAAACATGTATGTGTTTGTATATATGTACATAATAAATATATACAGTGCACTCACATTGTGTAAACAAACTTTTATTTTGGATGTGATTAATTGCAATTAATCGTTTGACAGCCCTAGTTTGAAATTAACAAAATGGCCAAATATTTCAGAACATATAGTGCCATATTATTTTTAAAACTTTTCTTTTTTGGATTTGGCTCTTCAGAGCTTCGTTCTGGGTCATTCCGTGTCAACTCCATGTCAGTTCCCTTTTTAATGCAATGAGTATCAGCTGTATACAATGTGACACACATTTGGTTTCCGACCACTGAAAATGGGTAATATTCAACAACTGAGATTCTACACAGCCACACTGATTCCAATATATCTGGCAGTGAACAATAGTAGGCCCTTGAAAACGAAGATTCAAAAGCAAAGTTTATTAGGAACCGTGATCTAAAAATATATTAAGATAACTTTTATACTTCTTGAGTTAAATGCACAACTTTAGAAAAAAAGAATATTTATGGCACTTGGATAGTTATGTTCTATGCAATTATTTTGATGTAGGGAAACGAGATACATTTCTAGTTTAAACATTATCTGTTCTTCAGACATTCCTCTTTAAAGAAATAAAGCATGGTGTGCATGCAAAGTGACCCACATTTGGTCTTTGACCACTGAAAATGTGTACATATTGAGATTCCAATATTGCTGAAATGGAACCATATAGAACCTTAAAAATGAATATGTCAAAAGGAAAGTTTAAGACCCAAAATCTAAAAGATCATTAAGATATCTTTAAAACTTCTTGAGTTACAGGCATGCACACTTTGGAGGAAAAAACTAGCTTTTTCCATTTTTGAATGGTCACCACTGGCATATAATGCAACAAAGATTGCTAGTCAACAGATTTTACTAATAGACTTACCAGTCGCTGTGTAAAAATAATGATGCTACTATCTTTCTAAAGTCATTTTTACCCCCCCGTAATCTGGCTCAGAATCTGAAAATGTAATTTTGGCCCCCCTCTACAAAACAGAGGCTTATTCAGTAAATATACATTAGTGACATTTAATATTTTGGCTTTCATCACTATCCATGTTTATCTTTATTTCCAAATAAAAAAATAATAATTGACGAAATAAAAAATTTGAGCTGGGGAAGATTTGGTTGATTTGACAAAGAATGACCCTTCTGTTCTATTTGGTGTTTGTCTTTCCGTTTCCCGGGGTCTGACATGTTGAATCGGGTATATAGCACACAATGTTGAAATGTGCTGAGGGTGTCTTGCTGGCATTTCCTCAGTTATGTGGTGATGACTATGTGGAAGCTGTTTCGCATTGAGCAGGAATTGCAATTTTCCTCCTACGCGTCCTGCTTTTTTGACCTGGCTCTGTGACCATGTGGAGCCCACAAACACATAAATATGGGTTAGCAATAGGTTGTCTGGGAGACGATGCTGAACTAAAAGTCTCTCTCTTTTATTAGTTAAAAGGATAATCTCTCATCTCTCCTACACTGAAAACTGCAAAGTGATCCATTCTCATCATTTTTTTTGTCTATTTGATTCAACCTAATTTAATTCAGTTTTCTAATCTATGTACTTCAAAACAAAACACTGCCATTGTTTTTTCCCCATTTTTATTACTCCGTAAACCTTACAGCAGTGAGGTTTTGTTAGTTGCCAGGGAGAAGGTTGTTCTGTATTTAGTATAAAAGGACAAACAGCTGCTGCTTCATATGTAAAGGGCATTAGAAATCCAGAAAAAAATTAATCCTGCGAGAAAACTTGAAAAATGAAGCAGGACAGATGCGCATGGACAAACACACAATGCAAATGGTCAGATAAATCCATTTCAATCACATGGAGAAGTTCTGTTTAATACATTTGATTGCATTTTGTATTTGTAATAATCATCTGTTATTGTCTTCACTCAAATTAATTGAAATGAACACTATGATGATGCTTTTGTCATGGCCTTACAACCCCTGCTGTTCTTTGTTTTGTTTTTTTCAGTTTTATCTTTCTTTGCATGGACAAGCACCACTCACATTTTGTTCAGAAAATGTTAAATTTGACTCATTTTACAAGTATTTTACCAATCTCCTTGCTACAGTAATGCATTATTTGCTATATACAGTAAGCAGTTATTTGGAAATAACACATCAAATATGTGCTTCTCTCAGACAGCCTACAAAACCATTTAAAATAGGGAGCCGCAGTTGTACGCAGCACCTAATGCACCGTGAAAACAATTCCTGAAATATAAGATCACAAAAGCGTAAATTTAACATATTAAACTGTATATAATTTGGTTCTAACAGATTTAATTTAGTCTGACATGACTTCTCAGCCAACAAATCACATTTGGTATGGCAGCTCAGTTTTATGAAGGTATATTAGATTATCAATCAAAACTCTGAACAGAACGACGGGGGGCTGGAAAAGGATCAGTCAAGGTGAAAAGGCTGTCCACAGTGTGAAGGGCTCGAAAATGAGCTGAATGTTGGTCTATCGGAGCTTCTTTCTTTTTTTTTAAGTGGATGTGTGAAGTTTGGTTCTCCTCAAGTTCATGCTATAGCATGAATGTAGTGTCCTAGCAGAGTTCCTGCAGGAGTAGTTCATCTCATTAATTATGAATATTATGCACTAATATTTGACAAATGGTGTCCCAATGCATGTCCTTATTTTGAACAGTAGGGTAAAATAGGGTCAGATGCCCTACAAAACTGGTGGTTTGTGACATTGTATTATGTTGGATATATTTTAAAGTGCCCCTATTATGGGTTATTAAAGGTTCAAATTTTGTTTTTTTGAGTCCCCAACAACAGATTGACATGCATTCAAGGTCAAAAAACACTTTCATTGTCTTAAAATATGCATTTATTTTTACCTCAACGACTCCCAAACGATTTGCTCAACGATTAATTTTTCCAAACCCCTCCTTTGCGTGACACTAATCTGCGGTGATTGGTCTGATTGGTCGATTTCATTTCCGTTTCATCATGCCTGTAATGCCTGATAAATTTGTAAAAGTTTTCCCTGGTCTACGCACTCAACAAGTGGGTGGGCAATATGCTAATGTTTCATGTTGACGTCAACATGAAATGGCTTGGATTCGTTTTAAAAACGACTCGTTTAAATGATTCAGAGTTGACTTTTTCTTTTGAGAGACAACATCTTTATGCACGGTGCACTTTCAGATTTAAAACTTTGCAGGATGTTTTCATTCACTTACAGCTGTGTTACACACTGCACGAAAGGAAATTAATTTAAATTTGAATTGTGTGTATACATTTTAGATTTGTGATTTTAAAAGGAAATGGGTAAGGTGCCCCCAGAATTAGCATAGAAGGCCCCGAGTGGCATGTTGTTGCTAGTGTTATAATTTTATTAAAACCAATAATTGTGAATTCGAAACTGAATGATTTCACTAAATTAGCCACTCAGTGTTGCTGCTATGACATATTATACTGTATCTTCAATAGAACATATGGGAAGATACGTATATTCATGATTGCATGTAAGTTTGTTTGCACAAAAAAATAATTCTGTCATCATGTTGTTCCAAAACAGCACGACTTCCTTTCTGTTATTGATTTCAAAAGAAGACATTTTGAAGAATGTTTCAACAACTTTGGACCCCATTGACCTTTATTGTATAGACCATAGACTGTAAAAAAAGATGGACGATGCGTCACCTATTCCTTTCACTATAGAAAAGTGAAGCCAAAGCATCTCAGTATGGCCGCTGCCATCTTGAGTAAATTACGTAATTTGGAGCCAGAGTCTGCACAGTAGTGTCGTGAGGTAGAGCCGCGTTATCAAACTCCCGCCCAAACTCCCGCAGACCCCAATCAACCATAACGACACGCCCTGTTTTTATAGCATCAAATTACTAGCTAAAAGCAAACATATCACAAAAAAGAACAATTGAACATATATCAGCGTGATAACAACTACCTTAAATGACCAAAACCATCTTTTGGAAAATTGTATTGGAAGCGTCATTTTATTTTTTTTATTTTGACTCAATCCCATTCGTTTACATGGAGAGGGTGGGGTTTATGACCTGTACTGCAGCCAGCCACCGGGGGGGGGGGGGGATCAAAAAGCCCGCAGCTTCAG